AAAAAAAAAAAAAATTCCCTAATAAGAACAGATTAATAATTAGGGGCAGAATACTTTATGAGACCAGGTTCATAGAGGGCAGTTCAGCATGGCCTGTGAAAGAACAACATAAAAATCAAAATTATAGTCCTGATATTGTCCTTGACACAAAACATCCAAATTTAGCAGATAGAAAAGACTTCTGGAATTGGCCACAGTTAAATATATCTGCACTTGTTGCATGCTGCAACAAGTATCTCAGCTCATTGGGGCTGGAACATGGGGGAACTTCCATGCCCTGTGACACAGCTTCAGTCAGGGGCAGGCTAGAGGCTCTTTCTGCCAAGTCCTTACTTAACATGTTGTGGCACTACTTTTAATCCCTGTAACAGACATTCTATGAGGGCAAGAATGTTTTCATAGCTATATCTTCAGCATGTAGAACAATATCTGACATGAGGCAACTCATTAATATATTTGTAGGGTTTTTTGTTTTTCAGACAGAGTCTCACTCTGTGCCCTTGGTAGAGTGCTGTGGAGTCATAGCTCACTTTAACCTCAAACTCTTGGGCTCAAGAATGATTCTCTTGCCTCAGCCTCCCAAGTAGCTGGGACTATGGGTGCCCGCCCGGCTATTTTTAGAGATAGTCTCCCTCTAGCTCAGGCTGGTCTCAAACCCCTGACCTCAGGCAACCCACCTGCCTGGGCCTCCCAGAGTACCGGGATTATAGGCATGAGCCACTGCACTTGGCCTAATATATTATTTTCCCATGCCATATTTATCTCACATTTCCTAGTGATTCTTCTAAATCCGTAAACTCTACTCCATATCTTTAGTTTCTTCTTCTTGGAACAGAATAGGTTTGAAACAAGCAAATTATATTTTTATTGGGTATATGTGTATTTCTAGTTGAAAAATAGAAACACAGAATACTCTTAGAAATAAGAGTTAAAATGAAAAGAGAAAACATATGGTAAATGCACAGTGCATTCAATTCTTATCAAATGCAGATACACGTAACACTAAAATCATAGCAGCTGTGTTTATTTTATAATTTAGGCACT